TGTCTTAAAAGAAGATTATCGACTGTATATGTAATACTGGTGGGGAAGACTGAAGTGACGCGTTGGAATAATTTTTGGCTCGGTAATTAGAATCGAATTTGTACTGTATGTCATTGAAACCATAATAAATGCCTTTGTCTGATTTATTCCGGTCTATTGCACAAGCTTATTAAATAGCTTTGTGTAATGTTGTTGTACTGTGAATCTGAAAAAAATTGTTGTTCTCGTTGTTATCCACCGACATTATCAGCATGTTTACCTTCATAATCTTTTCCCAAGAAGTTAATAATGAACCAGGCTTCTGGGACATTCTTGACATCTTTAAAGGAAACATCGCTTTTCGCTTATCGTCTTTATCCTAATTGTCATGAACATCTTCACTCATTTATTTTTTCTTTTTTTTCTGGAAGTTGATAATGAACAAGACCTCTGGGACATCCTCGAAATTTTTAAAGGAAATATCGCTTAGCATGTGACTTTTAGACCTGTTTACCCCTCTGAAAGAAAAGTGATATACTCATATAGATACCCAAACTTATCCGGGTTATTTTGGCATTAACTGACAACAGGTGTTGCTACGCCATCTTGAGATGATGTTGGTTCATTCTTAGTCAACCCCCGACACGTCGTAAGGTTTCCCAAGCAATTCGCGATTTGTACTCCTGGATGGAGAGAGGGCTTATCTGGAAAGGAAAAAACAACACATGACGTCGCTAAGTAAGTAAACTCTTTATTTAACCCTCTAATCCCAAGAGTGACTAGCATCTAATTTCCCCTCACAATATCACCCCTGAATCTCACGCAGTGTGGTCATGAGAATAAAGAAAATTATCAGCAGCTGAAGAAGTTACACAAACTCTCAAACAAGCTTTAATAATATGTAAAACGTGTAAGATAGACCACTTAGTAAGTGAATCAGGACATAAATGACATTATTTTCCGAATCAGGTGAACATGAAGTAATTCGCGTCCACAAAATATGCAATCTTTTATGGTACGTCACGTGACTACCTAGTCACTTCCTGGCACACTCAAGCACAGGTCCACGGGAGTGGACCCGCATGATTGTTATTCTATGTTCCAATATCAAAAAGATTAGACAAGAACAGGATCATTCAAGTGAAGAATTTAACTATTTCATCGGACATTATACAGAGCTGATTATCAAACTAATTCTGTTGTGCGATTGAAAGTACAACTTGTATGATTTTAGTCTCTCCAGGGGCCCCATGCACCCTTTTCCTGAGCGGTTTTCAAGGCTTCGGGATCGTTTTTCTGGTATAACGGTTTTACTGACGAATTCACGAAGTACTTGACCCTCATCTGCATCTCCTTCACAATATCTGGGAATTTTTTGCTAAGGTCAACTCGTTCTTCTGGGTCTTTAGAAATGTTATATAAGGCGATGTCTACTTTGTCAACCGTCACCTGCGACGAGAGATGGTAAGAAATAAGATAAGTAAACAAAGGCAGCTGCAAAGATCCATTAAACGACGCCTTTACGAGAGTTAAGCTTAACAATATCTTATAATTCCATGCCGTGCATAGTCTGTGAGTGTAAGTGACCTTTTCTAGTTGTAAAATCAAAACCTCGAATCGATCCAAATAGTTCCCAAAAAAACATGATTCGCATACTTTGTGCTCAATCAGATGTATGCGACATTTCCCGTCTACACGAACAAAAGCATCGTAGTAATGAAAGATGTATCTGAGATCCAAGTTGGACCTGAGGGGTGATATCTCCAACTGATTCTAATTCTTTCTATCACTCAAAATAAATATGGCGTACTGGTCACTTTACCATGTCTGGGTTTTCAAACACCGCGTCTAGAGGTATTTCTTTTTCCACTTTTCCACCAATCTCTGGCGGTTTAAACCACGTGACATTAGGCACATTCATCAGCAACTTCATATCACCGGTCCTGAGTGCGATCCCCGTATAACCACCCAGGACACCAGGCCCTGGAGGAACTGAGCCAGGTTGATCAATGTTTAGTAATATCTCAGTGCGTGGAGAAGGCTTCCCCATCGAAATCGTGTCCCATACGTCATGGCCGTCCAGTGGAATAGGACTTTTGTCTACTGATGTCACACCTTAAGATGAAAGTGATTTTTCAATACCTTCCCCGACAAAATTAAACTAACAAAGAAAACGATCTCATTCCCAAAAAGCTGGACTGAAAAACTATCACTTTGCCAGGAATGCACTTAGTCACTCCAACAAAATCAGCAACCTCAATTTGTTGTTTCCTTATTATTTCTCCTTTCTTAACCCTTTACATCCTAACACCAATATGCAATGTGCTCTCTACACGTTTCCTGTCGAACTTAACTTACAATCAAGAGCCTCTTTCTTTATTCTCAAGACCTTAATGTTTGATTCAGGTGTCACACAGTTGGGAGAAATTAGGTTCTCGTCACTCTTAGCTGTTTACAATGCGTTAATAGAAAATTAGATCTTCCTCGGAAGAAATCATTAAAATCGAGAGAGACTTTTTAAAGTTCATCGAAACTAGCATCGGTTATTATTTACAATGAAAATGAAGATAGTCTTTGCTAATTATGTAATATTCCTTACCGGCCAATCCAAGAATTGTTGGGTACCAGTCCGTCACATGCAATAATTCATTACACGTAACTCCCTTCCTCGCTAGCTTATTTCCGTGAACAAATCCAACTCCTCTTACCCCTCCCTCCCAGAGCGTCATTTTTTCTCCTCGAAGAGGCCAATTGTAACCTCCATAAAATGGTAAACCTCCGTTGTCAGTGCTGAATATAAGAAGGGTATTCTCCCACAATCTGAAAAAAAAACGAGAAATAGATACCGGCTGGATAATTTAAAAATACCTTTTTAGGGTATGTCTCATGTTAAACGTCGCTTTTTTTCCAGGCTTGTTAAAGGGTCTTTTGAGGTGCCAAAGAATTGGAATTTTTATGATAATGCATCATCATACTACTAACCCTGCTTCTTTAAAAGCTTCTGTTATGTTGCCCACAGCCTCATCCATGATATCTGCCATAGCAGCGTGAACTCTCCTCATTCTATTTTCTATAAATTCGTACTTCTCTATGTACTTCTCTGGAGCCTGGATAGGTGCGTGAACATTTTGGAAGGCCATGTACATGAATAACGGTTGCGATGAATTGTGATCCTGTAACACCTTTTTCACTTGCTGTGAGAAAAGAAAACATGCCTTAGATTTCCAAGTCTAACTTCTCCCAGTGGTTATATACATTACAGGGACATGAAAGGAACGTTTAGCTGACCCTATAGTAGCTTAAGTGAGCTGAACCCTAGATATGGTTTGTTGATGGTGACAGCAGAGCTCAACAGACGCTTTAAAGCAGCCATTAAAGTTTCTTCCGGCGTTCGTCCTCGCTTTTATTCACGAGCAGCTCTAGTAGATCTAAACTACGCGTGACGACTTACACTGTCTCAAGGTGAGCAAAATGATAAAATTTCTTCAGTGTATAATTTATCTTAGGAAGCCCGTGCACCGTGTAACTCCTTCACGCGCGTTTAAAGTGCGTTCGATTTCCTTTTTGACCTAGGCTATCTTAGGTAAACGTGCACCTGAAATAAAAACAGGGTGAAATAAAATGATATATAAAAACTCGTTTACCATTGGTAGAGTTTATGGCTTAAAAACTATTGAGGCCGAGCGAATGAATGAAATTAAAAGATACTAATGAGATACAATAATGTAAACACCCCAACAATCCTCCTCTTACAGAGACGTAAGCGTTTGTGGCGTAGGTGCCGTTCAAATTCTTTACTACATCCAAATTGTCACGAAAGTCAACAATTCCCAAGCGACTATGGTCAAAATGATCTTCAGAACCGTCCCAGAATCCATAAGCGGAGTCAAAACCTCGTTTGGTTGGAACATAAGGCCATTTGTAGAAACCAAGATGCCACTTGCCAACCAAATGAGTGGCATAGCCTGATAAAAGAAAGAGGAAATGGAAAGAAATTTTTAATTACACGAAAACCAAGGGAGGAACTTTTTTTTTTTTTTTTTTAGTATCTGCAATTGAGAAATTGAATCAATCTTTTTTCCAATATCGTCTCTTCCAGTGCAACAGAAGACCCCAATTTAAAAATCCATGAAACGTTTCCAATACCTACCAGCCTGTTTCAGTTTCTGTGGCAACAAGTCGAAGTCCAGGGGCAATCCATAGGGGTTTTCCGGATGAATAACATCATGTTGCAGACCTAGCAGAAAATAAATCAAAGATGTTTTGGGTCCTTGATTAGCAATCGCAAAAAAACTGCGAAATTCACAGAAGCTCATTAGATTCGCGATATCTTAGGGTAACATTTTTTTGTGTCAAACAATATGGTGTTGACATGGACAAGATTTGAACAGCGTAACGCCATTTAAAAGGGGTGGAAGTAGATGCGAGTCCTTCGGAATGATCATGAGCAATTACAGCCTGCTTTTGAATATCTGTATTTTAACTTCATAAATTGCGTCAAATGAAGGATTTTCTCTCGAGGAATGATGTAAATAAAATCACATCAGTGAGAAGCATCACTGCACAAGACAACAATACCTGTGTGTATTGGATACCTTCCAGTCATCAATGCTCCCCGTGTCGGTGTACATATTGGCTGCACGTAATAACTGTCAAGTATAACTCCACTCTTAGCCAGCTTATCGATGTTGGGAGTTTGTATTTTGGGGTTATGATAACCGACATCGTACCAGCCAAAATCATCAGCAAGCAAAAACAAAATGTTCGGTAGCTTCGATCCTCCTGCACTGTGGACTGTGTGTAACACATGGGGCACGTACAAAACCAATAACCAGAATTTTACACGTGATAACGACCGAGTCATGTCTCAACCGATATTTCGTCCTACAACCGGGATTTCCAAGCTTTTGATATAATTTACTCGCTTTCCGTGTGTCTTGTGATTATCATGGGACACTTTTGTCTTTTCTGACGCACCACAAAATGCGCAGAATTCATTGCGTGACAGCACATCTTGTCACACAAACCCAGTTTCCGGAATAGCCTCCAATTTTAAAAAATACAACATTAAAACAACTTGAAGTAAAGCTGCTCTTCTGTATTTCTTGTATTCCTGGTATACGAAAAAAATAGATCTTTAACGAGTAAAAATCATTACAAAGTATTCCAAACAAATACAAGTGATTTGGAAAACTAACAACACAATGAGACATTGTTAACACAAACCAGCTCTGAACAGAGGACATACAAAGGTGTTTTGACATATGAAGTTGTCAAATATCTAATTATTTGTTTCTTAAGCTTTGTTACCAACATGCTTGGTCAGTAACAGGACTTACAGGAGTTTGTGTTGTACTTTTCAGAGGTGTTGATAGTGCTTATTATTTCAAATTGGCTCATTCTTTGAGTTTTCAGCTGATTTGAAATGACTTACTAAACTCCTCTCTGAATTGAACCCCACTCAACCCTATAACTTAATAGTGAGATGATTTCATGTGAATGTCATGTGGATGAATCATCTATTTGCATTAATTGTGCAATAGTTCTCCCCAGCTGAGTAAAACCTATTTTCTGAAATTTTCTGACTTGTATTGGGTCAACTCTCCTGGTTGATCTGGGAGTCTTCCACTTGCAAAAAAAATTCTTTATCTCTTGGATGGTCTCTCATATCTCCTGCATGGGCCTTAATCTGGATAACATTCTCCTAAGAGAGGGTAATGTACATCAAGTAAATTATGCCTTCATTTAAAAAAAGTTTTCTTTTCAGAAGAATGTTTTATTTCTACAAGATTTTGTCCTCATTGTGCATATTTGCATCAATTTTGATATCTTTCAGTTTGGGGGAAAAACTGGTATGGGTCCACCAACTTGAAAACTAAAGGGGCAAGTATGATGTGATTTTCTGACTTGCATGTATTTACAAATATAAATGAAGCATGTATGTCAACGCTTCTGGATATGTGGGTGTACCCAAGGCACATGAAGATTTTCTTACTAGTGATATCTTGCACAGTTTGTCTAGATTCCCATGTGACTCTAAATTCGACAATCATTTTCCACACATAGAGTACATCAAGTAAATTTTGTCTTCCTTAAAAAGCAATAACATCTTTGGTTCAAGAGAATAATATATTCTTGAGAAATTGTGTATATATTTCACTGTCTTTGAGAATGTAAGGGAAAACAGAGATCAAGTGACCAATTTTAAAATCAAGGGGGGCATGGGATGATGATGTATTCTAATAAAAATATACTTCTGTATTTCAGTATTTGGCACTTTGATGGTGGTCACCCAAATAGTTCGGTGTTTTAGTCTTTTTGGCTGAACAGCAAATGTATTTTTCAGTTACTTACATGACTTCACTTAGTTTAGCTTTGTAATGTTTCATGTTACTACTTAAAATATTAAGTGAAACCATTTCCATCAAACACCTCTAACCTGCAGATGTAGACAGTAAAACTACAATGAGCACTTTTGTTACATGAAAACAGTCGTGTATGAAGCTGACTGCTTTATGGGAAATTGAAATTTTATTTCAAACCAGTTACATTTTAAATTGTTAATTTTAGAGACAATTTTTGTTCAGGTCATTATGCACGTTTTTTTTTCATCTGCATAAAAAGGTCACATGCAAAAGGTTGCTGATTATCCATTGGAAACTCAACAATTAATTACCAGCATGCAATTGATTAAAACTGCACCAAGTGGCCACTTTTGGGAGACCTGTTGACATCCCATGGGTGATATACAAATACTATTGAATCACTGAGTGACAGGCAATTGATGCATGTATGGCTTCCAGTCAAAACTTTCCAACACCTCAACACCCTCCTCTTGCATACACTGCACAGCCTTATCGACAGGTGATGCCATTCTAACATCAATACCACCACATGTGCAATGACGATTGCGTGACGGTTCAAAATCCCCACATTCCATGTACACCTTGAGACAACTGGGACATCTTTGAATACTGTTTGTTTTTCTCGCACCACACAAGCCTAAATCAACAACAACCTGAAGGCCTTTGTGGCTAAAGGCCTTCTGAGTTCGGACCGAGCTGACTCGCACGCAACTCGTGGTTGTACAGCCACCCATTACCAAAGTGTTTATTCCCTGTTTCAGCAATTCTTCCTCGACCCATTCTCTGAAACCACGAGCATCCATCACAGAAGTACTGGGTTTAATGACATATCGTTGATTTTTATCAACTACAGAATTCAAACTGTCATCAAGCTCAAAGTCACCACCTGGAAAAGGACAGCGGGTCATCAGTAGGGGAACATTGTTCAAACCCGATCGTAAAAGTTTCGCACAGTTTTCAAAACTTTTCTTGATTGGTTCAACTTCTTCGTCAGGTAAATAAGCCCTCCATGCACCGTCCACGAAAGCGCTTTGTAAGTCAATCAACAATAAACCAATTTTTCTTCGTATAAGCGACGGATGAAGCGCCATTTGCATCGACTTCTCTCCTCCAAAGTTATCCCCAGTCTTCCCTCTGAAAACCCTGTCCTAAGAAACAGGGCCATCGTTCAGGACACAAAGATTGCATGTTTCAGGGCGTCTTATGAGCTGAATAGCCTTCGATTTCCACCCACAATTGGACCAACCGTTCTGAGATAATTCAAGAGTTCAAATACGTAGGTGTACAACTTTTATCTCCAAACAAAAAGAATGAAAAAATGATGGAAACCTCTCATAAATGGTTGACCTTGCTGTTTAAGTAAGTGTGCATATATAAATGTTGTGACCCTTTAATTTCTTAAATCAACACGATTTTTGCGAGTCAAATTTCTTTTGGCTGTCAAAATCTTAATAGGGAATTTCACTCAAAAAAAATGTCAAAAAGGCTGATTGGCAGGTACACAAGTGTAATAATCATTCCTGCCATTTGCGAGAGATCTGCAGACGATCAACTGGTTGTTACGAAAGACAGAGGTTATAAATGACACTGACGAGAAAAGGGCAGGGTCTAGCTACCATACTCACACACATTCATGTATGAACACACGAAACCTTACAAATCTATAATACAAGAAAGGAAATACAAATACAAGAAAGGAAAGAATGAACTGAATGAAAGAATGAACTCCCTTCACTGAATTTTTTTTCTTGTGTTAAAATGCCATGTACATCCTGTTTCCCTAAGCACATTCTGCAAGTCCTTTTCCACTTTTTAGACAGTCCAGATAGCTCACAGCCACTCTTGAGAGAGTGTAAGAATATGAACAACCAAGGAATGTGCGCAAGTTGGCCATCGTCAAACTAAGGAGAGCACTAGATCTTTATTACAATAGCAAGTCTCAAACATGTAGACATGACCAGTGACGACTCAAAATGTTTTATTAAATATAAGCTATAATAGCTAATGTTGCTTGAGAAATGTGCATCTTACCAACCTTTTAAATGTACAATTTCCATAAATCTTACCATTTTTGCACCAAGGCATCAAAGTCTTCTCTAGAGGCAAGAAGCTCCTGGTGTTAAATCTGTAAAAACTTACTGCTCTACTATTATAAGGGTTAGAAAAAGGACTAACAAGTTCAGCAGAGAAAATCTTTTAAATTACTAAGTGACTGAATCAAGAAAACAGTTGGTATATTCCTAAGGGATATTAACGTTAGCAACAAATAAAATGGCTCAATACAGTAAGGTAAACAAGCTTCCTTTCAGGTAAATCACAGTAAAAGAGAACATTCAAGTTGCAATAATTCTATTTTGATTGTCAAATTAAAGAACAATTGGCCACAATAAAAAAAAGTAACATCACCTTAAAAATGTTGCTCAATATCTCCTTTACAAATGCTTTACCTAATTACTGTAGATCTAATTCAAACATGGAATATAAAAATGCAAAAAAAAAAATCCCCTTCATAGCCATTGAGCCACCACATGGAATTAAATAATGGAAATAACTGAAATAGCACATTAGAGCAAATAATGATCTGGTATGATTATACAAATCTAACCAAAAACAAGCCTCAAATTACACAAAATGTATAACAAGAGATGTAACTACGATATACAAACAATGAGCCTTAACAAATACATCAACAACCCAACTCATCTTCAAACATGAGAAGAATATATATTTTGAAAATATTGAAGGAAAAGCTGACCAACTTAACTCTTTATTTTTAGTTCCAACCATTCACAGATGGATATTTTCATAAAATGTAAGAAATCACATCCACAAATGTGAAAGATAATTATTGTATGAATCCTAAAAAATGGAAACTATTTGCTCAATCTCATAACATGATGATTCAGGAATTTATCTTAACTTGCTGATGGACAGAAGTCTATGAAAAAAAAAATTCCACAAAAATCATCCTGAGAAATCATGCTTTTGGTAGGAAAGAGTTATATATCCTATACCACGAACCTGAGTAGCCCTTTTGATCTTTGTTGACAAATTACTTGGACAACAGAGACAATAAAACTACTAAGACACTGGGACTCCTATTGACTCTCTTGCATGTAAAACAATGTATGCAACAGAGTTACATGTAAGCGACAGTGACAGTGTTCATGATGAAACTTGTATAGTACTGGCACTCTAAAGATCTTCTAAGGTTTTAAGTTATCAAATCAAAAATTTCATTGTAAAATGAAAAGAAATAATGAAAGAGTTATTAAAATAAGAGTGATACAAACTCATTATGCTACTGCTGGAGGGTTCATACTCTCTCAAAATTGTACAATACAATATTTTCCTTAACCTTTTTAAAGACTTTTTTGACATTCAAGGTGAGTAGTTATTGAGAGGATGGTTTCAAAATAATGTGAAAAGATGATTAACCCTTTAGTCCCCAAGAGTGACTAGCATCTACCCCTGGTAATTTCTCCTACAATATTACCTCTGAATCAAACATGAAGGTGACAGGTATACAGGAAATGATCAAAAACTAAAGCAGCTCTTGATTGTTGAACAAATTCTTCCTGTAAGTACCTTAGGAAATGTATAGAAAATAGAATGGAGAATATACATAATGATGTTAAATAAATTCTCCTGTAAGTACCTAAGGAAATGTATAGAAAACAGCATGGAGAATATACATAATGATGTTAAACAAATTTTCCCAGTAAGTTCTTTAGGAAATGTATAGAAAACAGTATGGCAAATAGCGGTATACATAATGATATTAAACAAATTCTCCTGTAATTACCTTAGGAAATTTATAGAAAACAGTATGGAGAACATACATAATGATGTTACAGTGTAAATTTCAAGGACTTGGAAGACTTGCACTAATTCTTGTTCTTGTCAGGCCTGGAAAATGATGCTGCAAAATTTCATGACTTTCCAAGTCTTGTGTATTGAACACTGTAGAGACCCCATCTTGTCAGCAGTTTAACAGGATCAATAAAACTGCATCCACAACCAGATTGGTCTTCAGTAGGAAGTTAGAAAAACAAATCCAAATTGTCCAAGGGAAGCCACAAAATTTTTCACACAAGTGACAAGTGATTAACCTTTTGATCTCAACTCATCTATCTGCTGTAGAATTTTAAGTGTCGGTCCAACTTTAAAAAACTGCAACAATGTATCGCGATTTAACAACATCAGAGCCCTGCCGTCAATCTCCTGCTCTTGAAAGAATCCTGCATACTCAGCACAGTCAGTATTACAAAAGAATTGCACCACATCTGTAGTGCTCCAGGTAGCTACACTGGAACTCGATAGGCAGCTCCTCCTTGGGCTATTAGCTGGCTTGTTTCTATTGCTGGAGAAAGTAACTCCAATATTTCCAGGTGGAGATGGAATCCAAACAGGTGCACCTTGGTGTACATCATCCCTCCTTGACAAAGCTTCACCTCCCTGATGGTAATTTTCTGAACTACAATGACTTGAGGGAGAAAGTCGCAGATGTGAAAGATCTGAGTTCATTTGTGTAAATCCATTCTTCACTGGTCTATGATGTTGAACGTTACCAGTGGTTTGTAAACGCTTTTGCATTCCCGATGACCCTTGATATAAATGAAATGCTGATGAAGATGTGTTTGAACGGCTGTCAGTGTTGTCTGATGTTTGTTCAACAGAAATTCCTGATCGATCATCATTTGATTTTTGGTGTGCTTGAATTGCTGAATTAGATGGTACCTCTGGTGAAACGACTTGAAATTTTTCTGAGTTATCTAAAGCATCATCGAGTGAGGAACTTTTTCTAAACCGCGGAGCCACTTCTTGTCCGGTATATCCCTTCGTTGGAGACGATTTAATGAAAGTTCCATTATATACAATAACATCACCTTCTTGCAGCCTGCCATCCCTCAATCGGCAGTCAGACGAATTCATCACATAAGATTTCGGAGTTTCTTTCTCTCTATCAGCATTTCCATTAATTTCGCTTTTGTTAGAAATCCTGTCCGTGCGGCGATGTTTCTGTGGTTGAAACTTTTTAATTCTTTCGGAAATATAAGCAGGTCTGACAGCCAAGATGCTATCATTGAGTGTGTAACCATTAAACTTTGACAATGCATCAAAGGCTTCTTCTCTGCTTGAAAATTTGACAAATGCGTAAGTAGGAAAAGGACTTCCCGGACGCGTCTTTGGATCCATAACTTTACAAACAGCTACTTTACCAACAGAAGAGAACGTCTTGTGGAGAAGTTTCTCAGAGATGTCCGAGGGAAGATTGCTCACATGCACTCCATACAAACCGTACATATCTCGTGGAATCACCGATATATCACTATGTTGCAAAGATTTGGACGTTTTAGTTGATGTTTCCTCATACTGTGACAATTCTTCTGAGCTACTCATCCTAAAAGTGTAAAACAAAACAAACTTACAAATTTCGAAAGCACTAAGAAGAGATTCAAACAAATCAGTTTGTCCGCATTTACACGACACAGCATCAACAACTTGTTCATTTGCTGTTGCTAACACGACTTAACACTTTGATATTATGTTCCCGTCATTTAGTAACGGAAAGAAGTTCAGAGGTCACCTACCTGGCTTGTGAAAATAAGTCGACCGAAGCTAACTTGCGGCTCTAACAAGCGTGCAAACAAGCTAACACACGTGGAATACATTACCTGGCCTGGCTACCAAGCACCCGAATCCCTGGTATCCAGTGAAGTATTTGGTAAAGGACAAAAGGAGGCGGTTTGATGAGAAAGTCTAACCATGAGTAGGGTAAGAAGCGAACGATTGAAAAGGTTTCTGATCACCATTTCGAAAAGCCCGTTTAAGCTGTTTGCTGGTTCATTCAGCAGGTCTCTTTGTCAAGGCCAGGAAGCCTGTAATTCAACTACAAATGGTTTCGTCTTGATTGTTGGGTGGTTATTATTATCTATTTGCCCACTCCAGTCATTGCTCTCCTTGGTAGAGACGATCGAAAAGCGGGCGAGAGAAGGGCGGCGACGGTCAGGGTGCACATCGCCCATTTTCGCTCGTCATATTTTACGATCGTCTGCATTGAGGCCTACAGTGACGAGAGGGGAGCTTAGCACAGACTGAGAGAAAATTGAAAATCACCTTTAGGTTTAATACCCAAATGCAGTTTGTAAGAATCAGGAAGTAAAGAGTAAAATTTGCTAGTTCAAAAAAACAAAATAAATGACTAATAATAATAATAATGATAAAAATAACATTAATAATAATAACAACAATAACAAAGCTTAACGCAAAAGTGTAGTACATGAAACATGGTCTTTTCAAAGTCATACACATGCACAGGACATACATACCACCTGAGGCACGGCTCATTTCGTGAAACTGAAAGATCGAGAGGCTTTGAACAGCCAGCCGTTGTATCATTAGGAATGGATGGGAAACACGCATTCTCATTAATGATTCACGAATTGCTTCTCGCATGTTTACACACATTCTCATTAACGATTGTTTACACCCATTCTCATGATCGATTCACGGATTGCTCCTCGCATGTTTCTAACATGTTTACACTTAGGTGCTTGCAATAATCTGCTTATAAAACCACACACGAGCTTTCTATAATAGCTTTTTTTAATTCTAATCTTCAATATAACTTCTATTTAGTGACTTCTTTCGATTATAATAAAACAATTCTCTCAGATTAGAATAGTGTCGGCTAACGTACGTACAACATCAAGGCAAACACTCGTTTCATAGAAAATACATTTTAAATAAAATTTTTTACTAATAAATATCTTGTTCCTTTAAAATCAGTGTTTTCACAACTTATGGAAGAATTATGCCTCATATACAACACTAGTAAACTGAAAGCACTGTTTGAAAACACTCACTACGACAAAACCCAGCGTTACGACCACAATCTTTTCACCTTTACAAAAAGTTCCGGTAATGAAGAGAAGTTTAGGTGGTCACATTTTAGTTGATTCAACTGGGTTCCAAAAGCAAGTCTTACTGCAATTGTTATCATGAATCTTATACACTATAAAAAAACGATCGCCAAACACTGCTGGCCTCTGGATGTTCATAAGGTAGGTAACGTTATTACACCGTTAAATCACTCATGGAGTGACTTTCGACTGGAAAAACTCAAAAACTAATTTTATCTTTCTTGAGAGAGGGATGGGGAAGAATGATTGATTATTCTACCCGTAGAACAAGCGGGCAAGGACTGCAACAAGTATGGTCTACAGACACGGAGAGTATTGACTGTTCGAAATTAAACTACCAGTAATGATGATCTGTAACCATATACAAAGTATTATAACAACCATATTTGCGGCAAGGGTGTCTTATGAGAGAGTCTAAAGGAAATGCTAGAGAAAATCTGTGTTTAATATTAAGAACCTATTACTGCTTGATGAAAACCATTGCCGATACCATGGAAAAGGACTAAAACTCGGAATGTTTGGATTATTTTCGCGCTGTTCATATGACAGTTCACAATAATCCACGTAAGAATTCATATTCATTCTAGGAAAACTTAAAATACGTACCAGTGCTGCTAGTATCTGACCTAAAATTTGACATTTTTGAGAACATTTTAACATTTGCTTTAATCAAGACGCTTCACAGCGCTTCGACAAAGGATAAAGCTTGGTGGATGCTTTCTTAAGGGGTTGAGGTTTTTGACTCGGAGAGGGACGGGAGGGGAAAGGGGGGGGGGGGTGATCCTCATGTTTCTATAAATCTTCTATTCTATTAAAACCGGAACAACTCTCACACTGTTGTCCATGTAATGCTACTCGTCGAATATTTCACGGCACCCCGCGGATCTGAGGGGTCCGAAACTTTTCGGGACTGTGGACACGAAGCTGTTCTACCCACGGGTTCTTTTATGGGAAAATCCTTGTCAATAGTATCCCGTGATTCAAGGGAATAATCACTGCACTGCCTTGTTATAGAGATTTCCTCGTTATTTGAGTTGAGAACAACACTTGGTGCCATGGTAACATCATCCGTTGCTTTACGCGTAAGAGGAGGATCAAGAAACTGTCCCATCAGGGAAATTGTTGATATCTTGTACAACGAAGTTTTTTCTTGAGTGTTGCTGGGAGACGACTGGATTTGAACGCCTCCGGTTGCTTGAGTTGATGAGTTCGATGATTTGGGTGGCGACGCGCTGAAGTATATGTCCGCCTGATCAAGTGTAAGAAACAAAGGTAGAGTGTTCTAAGGCATTACATGAGTTTATGCGGTCAGAGAAGGTCGTATAGGAATTAAGCAAAAGAACTTGTTAGTGTTGATTACCCCGTTACTAAACGAATCTTCCATACATAGCACTGCTTGTTCTTCCTATTGAGCATATACATACCGACGCAGATTCTTACCTTTGCTGAAATTAGGGAGACTTTGGGTAACACGAGCGTATGCACCAAGTTTGCGTTGACGACAAGACGAATTTCTATGGTGTTCGTTGTGAAAGCCAGCAAATAAGGAAATGCGCACACTAAAATAAAGGGCAGAGAGGAAAAAAGTTAGACGCATTCGATCACACAAATATCGATGGGGTTCATTATTAGGAAGCCAGCACGACTCTTTTGTGTTGTCAAAGGACAGTAAGATAAGCCGAAGTCGACTGTGAAAGAGACCAGAACGTTTTGGTCCACGGAGACAGGGGTTTCAATAACTTTATCCATGAGCGGCTGCTAAGTGATGGTGTAATGGGTGGCTGTGCTCGGTAAAGGAGCCGGAGGGCGGAACCCAAACACGACCGAGAGCCTGCTCGGGGGCTAAACAGACGGCGGTGAGAGTTATTAAGCCTTAAACTCCCAGAAGTCACTAACATGTAACTTTCCCTTTAATATCTGTACATTATCCAGCAAATAGGTAACGAGAATATTAAAACTTATCAGGTAGAAGTTGTTACCCTGATGTAATACCAAATTCTCAAAACTAATTCACAGAAAAAGTGTTTGCTGCTAGAGGGGAGAATTAACAATTAGATCTTGGGAGTTGAAGGGTTAAAGGCGTTGGTAGACCGCTGGTAACCGGCTTTTATTGAAACCCCTGGGAGACATACGGCCCTACAGTATTAATCCTGTGGCCGTAGTATGAAGCGAATTCTACTGGTTTAAACACAGTATCTTCAAGTTTTTTTTTCCTGACTAATTATTGTAGGTAACTATGCGCATTCGCTAGTGGAGAGGGGCGCCCTAAGTATGCGTTGCGTTGTCCAATAAAAAATACAATGGCCTTGGATCTAGCGTGTCATTGTTTACAAATACAGAGCTTTATGAAAAAGAAAAAAACATATGAAGGTCAGTAAAATACAACTTCCACTGTAGAAAGAACACTCCTCATTGAAAAGTTTTACCGTTTACGACAAACGCGACTTATGAAAATGATAGCAAATAAGCAACAATTACTTACCAACTGAGTTTGGAGCCGAGTTCCATTGGAATGAAAAGTTGGAGGATTGCTCTCCTGTCAGCCTTTTAAATATTGACTGGTCTGTTGGAAAAAATCTCTCGGTTAGATCATAGATATGTAAATGACAATGAATGAAAGCTAAGACTCCACAGAGCAATACACGCTCAGCCAATAACACGATTTCGTGGTAACGTTGGTGACTCGTGTTCAAGAGTACAAGAGAGAGAAATTTATTGTAAGTCCCTCCTCTTGGGTTTTACTCGAAATCATTTATTCTCCTTTCCATTTTAAGCTGACTGTATTTCCCTTCTCCTCTCAACTTTGAGAAGAACACTTAATACTTATGTAAACTTCTCGTTTCTTCTACCCGGTACAAGCCTTAAAGATATCACTGTACGGTTTGGTCTTCAGTTAACTTACGATTATAGGAAATAAGTAACTCTGACACCTCTTCTTCGTACACGTCTACTGCCGAGACAAGAGTGGCCTTCTGCCAAGACAATACACAATATTAAACCCTCATAGCCGATGGGCAGAAAAGTTAGCTATTTTTGCAGAGTCAAGGGGTTAAATTGATGGAAACTACCGGTCAGGTGAGTGCTCAGGTAGAGACCTGGACCGAAAGTTAACAGCGACTGCGCTGCTTCCCCGACTCCTAATTAATCTCTCCGGAATTGCGGCTCTGTGCCACAAAGTGAATGATAACGATTAATGATGCAATCATGACCGAAGTCAAAAGAAAAAGAGCGTCATGAGAAAAATGACATCACACTTCCCGTGGTTCAGTTTTAGATTAACATTTCAAAGGTACTTACAATTCAGTTAGGATAAGCTTAAATATCCACATTATTGTAACTTTCTGATTTTGACAGTAGTCACGTTACCTTTTGTTTGTCAATACTGTGTATTTTGAACACGTCTCCTGCTTCACTGATGAGATCAAACTGATTCTTGTAACCAACACAAACACGACTTTCATGAGAACTTGTGTAAACCAACGTCATTAAAATCGGCGCTTCACCAACTGTCACTTCCTGCACAAAAAGTAAGACGAGTATTTCGAGAAGCAGTGAGTAGAATATTTCGTTAAAGATATTTGCATCGTCACGCAAGGACTCTCGGATCCTTTCATGACCGCCGTGATTAGCTTCAGACTGAGAAGAAGAAGAGTTAGGCTACGAAACTCCAGGTGGGCGAAGAGGAAGAAAGAAACAATAGAAGGGGGAGGGGAGGGTTAAACTCTGTCCCAGCCACACTGGACAAGTATTCCCAGTTGAAATAGTTTAAATGATACCTTGATGATCTCAAATCCATCCGCCACATCTTTGATGTTTCCTACAGTCCAAGTGCTCCACACCACAGGATGCTTCCAGCGTAATAGCGCTACTTTCCTCCCAACAGCCACTGCAAGCTTCAGTTCACCATCACCCGACTGACTCACGGCGAACAAATGGCATCCTAAATATGCCGTCAAAAAGTTTTAGAAACGAACATAAAAAGGTTTTTTCCTTAGCGAGAGTTGCCTGCAGCAACAGATGTTAAAAGGTAAGAGCGATGAATAGAGGCATGACACGGAAAAATAAGAAATGGTTACAGAATGACTACGTGAAGATTTCCTTGAGATGTTCTCTACCTTTGGGTTCGAGAGATTCCCTCTGTGATCTAAGCTTACCTTTGCTTTTCTCGACTCTGTGATTTTTGCAAAATTGCCGGTTCTTTGGTTCTTCATCTTCGTCTTCGAAGTCTGTCAGTTTAAAGACGTACAACTTGGAGGAGTGGAACTCTTTACCTTTGTCCACTCGAAAAAGAAGAAGCCCAAAAGCTTCCACTACGTTGATTTGTTTCGCAACCACTGATTTATCAAATACATAGCGCCTTTTTGCTCCTGAAATAGAAAACCAACATAACTTCAAAAGTTTTTGAAAAAAGATACAGAAAATACCAACAGAAAGGAAAAGTTACCCATGCAGATCGATTGCGCATCACGGAATGAAGGAAAACAAATCTAGTCAGTAACTCGTATGGAACCATTCTTAAGCGTGGGCAACAAAACTAGACTGAAATATATATTAAGAGTACAAAATTTCAAACTTTAAGTCCACTACCCAGAAGTTTGAGGGTTCGATTCTTGTTCAGAATTCCCACTGATTGCAACTTCAGGCACAGCAAAACCGAGGTTAAGTACAAAGCGACATCAGTATATATGTAATAAATATGTAACGTGTTATTATTACCTTGAAGCATTTGAATGCCATCCTCTGTTCCCAGAACTAAACTATCGCCTGTAAATGAAAGCCAAAGTCGTTCAAAATGTATAAAGTGAGTCCAAAAATTTCTATGAACCCGGCGGGGAAACAAGAATGCAAAAGGGACAAGAGGAATAATTCGTCACGTACATCTGCTGAGCCAGTTCATGTCTCTTCTTTAGTACAAACTCCAAGATAAAATGGAAAAAGTATTCAGCGAGCCTCTCTCAGTGACCTAGGCCGAGTTTCAACGAGAATGAACACAGAGGACAGAGGGGGCATAGGTAACCTGTCATCTCGGGCAGGGGCAGGGAGAGGCGATTTTAGTTCGCACCGGCGTGCGTCAAAGTTCTTGCCATGGAGGAATACTTGTAGTGCACCTATTTGAAGAAGGTTTCGGTGATTTTAACGATTTCCCAGACGTTATACGGCACAACGACAAATGAAGTCGCGAACAAACCTTTTCAATTGAATAAATATTCAGTGAACGACATAATCTCCAGCTACACCGTAGTGCACAGGGAGACCAATACCCTTATTGTGTACTGCTGAATTTCACTTGACTGACCATCACCTTACCCCAAGAATCCCCGCAAAATATCTTTGTTGAAAAGTCCTCCAAAATACACTGAGGCTTCCACGGCTATGAACAAGAAAGAAAGAGTAAAAACAACACCTGTAATCAAGAATGAACTAGAAATAAGCCCGATTTATTTTCAAACTGAATCACTTAAAAATTTATCAGTATACCTCAACTTTCAAGTTCCCTGACGTACTCGCTAGACTTGTTGGTGCATCGCCTTTCACTATTTTGTTCAGTTTTAACGACTGGAAAGAAACGAAAGCATATTCTTGTCAAGACGTCTTTCATCGGTTTTTTATCAGTTTCATTATCAGTTGATCCTTAGTGAGTTATAGGAAATGAAAAAGAAAACATGAGACTCAATATAACTTTGGTATTTAACATTGAGATGTATTTAAAACATCAGATTTATTAGATTTTACGCAATCTGATAATTTGCAAACACGAGTTCTTTCACCTGGCCGAACTGAAGAAAAGCTTGCTCTCTTTCCATTCCTTTCCGCCGATTTCCTCGAGATTGGTCCGTGATAACGTCATTCCACGATTTACGGGCGCCAAGTTTCTACATTCAGGAGAAATCAGAGGTCAGAAAAACATTTAAGATATTTTCAAGTTATCATCAGCAAGCTTCCTTGAAAAATATCATGCCTATTACGATATAAACGCTACGTCGATTCTTTCAGCTAAACATACTTGTTAATAAGCGGAAAAGCAGTTTATCAGGATATTTACTGTTGGACGTTTAAAGCCTTCCCCCGAACTACCAAATACATGTTACTTTCTCGCTTGTATGTCCTTAGTTATTGGACAATTGTCCGACGTCTCGAGTGAAGCTCATTCCTCTGTCTCTTACTTAGAAATCTTCTTTTAAAGGAAATCCGGATATACCTCATGGATGTGGTCTTGGAGAAGCCTAGTTATAAGGCTGTCCAGTGTTCGCTGACGCCTGTTACTAAACGTAGGTGATCCGTAGGCGGCTTTCTCCCCATTCATTACTGGAAACAGAGACAGGAACAAAGTTCAATGACCGGAGAACCGAGAACCGAGAGGAATGTTACCAGCGTTTTGAAAAAAACAAGACGCTCTTACATTTGACCAGAAGGAAGTCTCTGAATTCCTGGTGATTACTGAAAACCGGTGGGCATGGTAATGGTGGGCCGAAGATTGGCACATTCTTTTCAGAGAACACTGTCAACCTGTCAAACAGAGAACAACACATTATCTCGTTTCCCATTTCCGCATGGACTTATAAGTAGCTCACAAAGCTAAATCAAAACTAAGGAGCCGGAGACCTTACCGATAGCTGTTGTCCGATTTGTTGAAAGAAACAAGAGCGTATATGTCTTAAAGAAGGTTAAGGGTCTCAACAGTTGTATGTTAAGCCTTACAACCACAACAGCGAGTCCAATATAGTCTTCTTTCGGGAGAAGAGAAGGTAATTGATTCGAGTTAGTTCACACATCATGACCATTCCCTAGTTATCAATAAAGGATACGAACAAACTTGGATTTTATAGCTGGAGGACTAAACGAAGACTTCCCATCCCAGTCTTGGAAGACAATAATAACAATGTCATTTCCTATATGGCGTTTGCGCTCCACCTGAAATGGTAGGGAAAAAAACTTCATTCAATTTACACGTCTGTGCTGGCTTAACATCGCGCCGCTGAAGGCACCAATCCGCCGATAGCGACCAAAGGCTTACTCATCAAATATAGGTGGGCCTCCACTTTTGGAATGTTTTCCAATTTTCTCCTTCCACCCTTAAAATGGAAGCATTAAACAAACTTTCAAAGCCTAATAAAAAAGCTGTTTATAAAGATGAATGTCAGATTCAAGGAAATGCTGCGGTGAGTTTTATTCTTAACCATCATGAAGATTAACTGAATTCTAATGAATTGCTAACCTGTTGTGGATTGTCAGGTGTGAAGGGCAGCAAAGTGGACACGTGGAACATAATTTCATGTCCTTCGTAAATTGTGTAAAGAGACTGGAAGCCAGTCATGTTGTCTACAGCGAAAAAAAAAAGGAAAAAAAGGAAAAGGAAATAGAAATAAGAAACTCGAAATCCAAAAGAGGTGGAGCTTTCAACTTGAGACACTGAAGAAATAGTAACACTTAATATATATAGTGCAACTAACTGTTGGAGCGAGTAATCCAATGCCGTAACCATGAATTGGCGGTACCAACGTTCAACACTTGGCCACGGTAATTTTGATGAGTTCTAGGGTGATTTACTCCATTCTCAAAATGTTTCGATGACTCTGAAGTAAAAATGGGTCCCGGCCAAATTGCATTCATGGTAACGAGAGGAAAGTTTTCAGGCTGTCTGTGGTGGCCCGGCATGATTTTCAGCAGCATTCCGGGGAAAAAAAAGCTAAACGCATTTACATTCCATTTATCGTGATCGGAGCCATCCTGATGATGGCAGCCAATAGAAAACTAGAACTACAAAGAGCAATAGCTTCCTCCTTGTATAAATCAAAAGTACGAACAATGAAATTTTTTTTGGTTGAGAAGTGATGTTTAAACGGGGGCAGTACCAGTTAAGAAAAAATAACAAAAAAAAACAAAAAACAAAAAAGAAACTGATAACAACAAAGGGTTGTTTTTCTACTATTTTTGCACTTTTGCAGGTTGTCGGAGCGCGAAGTGTGCGGACGGTTTGTGTTATCACGATATGAAAACCTTCAAATGGTCTTTTGCCCGAGTGGCCTGTTTAAGAAGGCTACGAAAACGAAAACGAAAACCTTCTAAATTTATCAGACCTACTTTTGACGTCGAGTCCCCCACGATACTTTTGCCAGCCCTTGAGTTCTATCTTGTCACCCAGCAGTTCTAGGAAACGCTCGAAATCTTCGCTGACCTTCACTGCAAAAGGTTCAGTACTTGGGTGAGACATAAAATGCACTGAATGGATACTTGTAGAATGTTCCATACAAACAGTTATTAACTCTCTTTATAACATATAACCCAACAAATGTCTCTTGGGAGAGCTGACTTGGGCGAAACACATTATCTTTGAGGTGTTCAATAGCCTCCATGTAGAACACTAAGCTCTCACGGTGATAGGAATTGACCACCATCGCGGTTTCCAAACACAGCACTCGGGTATGTCAGGAATTCAACGCTACTTCATTACGAGCGTGCGGAAATTCTACTCAGTATACTTTTTCGTGGAATGAACAACAGAACACTTTTCAAAGTAAACTGGACATTAGGAGAACCTTAGTCTGAAAAAATCGCTCCGATACATCCTTAACAGAAAATTAGTACTATCAAGACAAAAGCAAACAACTGTATAGTTAGTTACAGTGACTAGCGAGAATATTTACCATTACTAAACATTTCATCATCAGTTGTTTGTCCCTGTTTTGCATACAGAACTCCAAACTTAAAGTTTACGGATCCCTGCAGAAAAAATGGCATAAAAGTCTTAACACGCTTTACTAAGTGATGTTGCTATACAACCCAAATTGGAAATTTCGAATGAACATACAACACAATGTACAACTTGCTTTACCTCCTGTTCTTCCAAAACCAGCAATTCCTACAGAATAATAGAAAAAAGAACACAAATAAGCAGCGTGTGTGTTGGCAAAGTATGTGAGAGGGGACATTCTACTACAGAACAGGGGACTGGGCTGAGATATTTTTCTCGCCTGACGAACGAGAGCTGTCTCCCTAAGAAAACTGAAAATCATATCAATATCATCGGTGTAATGTGAACGAGGCTTCAGTTTCTATGCAAAATTGTGGAATGAAGGTAATCGTGGCCCACCTTCTCTTTACTCTTACGATGATGATGTAGAATTTAAGAGCGTGAACGAGAGTATTGTAAACCTTGTTTCATTAACAAAGGGCTTTCCCGATAGTTTCGACTGAGACATTTTTTTGTGACGTAGAAAATTAGACCTGCCAAAAGGCAACTAAAAACAAAAAGAAAAAAGCATTCTAAAGGGTGGAAAAGTTTGATGCAGCTGCTAATGAAAATTTAAAAAAAACTTGCACCACAAGACGCATATACTGTTATGAAATCCTTATTAGCTATGTTCTCAGTAAAATTAATAATGGTAATAGAACCGAGTGGAGTCCAATTCGGTCTATAATCATACGAGTGATTAACAAAATCGGACGACCGGGAAGCGGGAGTCCGATTTGTTAATCACGAGTATGATTATGGATAGAATTGAACGACACGAAGTCCTGTTACCAATCAATCAAAACTATGACAAAATTTGGGAAAGAAACTAGATCGGTTATACATTTTCATAAAAAAAAAAAAACGAAATGCACGACAACAGCGCGCGCACATGACGCGTTCTATTCACTTACACAGGTATGACGGTTAACTGTCCCTTTAACTGTCCTATTACACTGTCCAATTACAAGCATGATGCATACACTAACCTATTAGTGCTCAAATCGGGATGATGATAACCAATCACGTTCGAGAATTCTGTTATAGTTTTGATAATAAGCATATTTAAGTTGTATTCTTCTGGTTGAAGTAATTGGCTTAAAACCTAGACTATTAATAACTACTCGAACCTATTTTAAAACAGATGGGCATACATTGGCAATGAGCCGAACCTTTTGCAATTCACGGTTTAGCACCTCTCTGGGACCTTTGTCAAACTTGTCAACTCCATACGCTCTAACAGACACAGAAAAAGAAAAATTTATGATAATTGACCGACTCTTACCATCTACGTAAATGTTGCGTGAGGTTGAGCAGGAAAATAACGCTGTGAGAGAGAAAATCAACAGCTAGGCAGACAACATATAAGTTACAAGTATCATGTCTCTGAAACCTTTAATGTTTCAAAAACCCGTAACATTTAAAAATGCTCAATAATATCGCATGCTTTCAGTAATGAACCAGTCTCAACTTCTTCCCTTTCATTCAGTGTTCTAGAAATAATTTGAACATGATAAGATAAGATTTGCATTTTCTTCCTTTCTGTCAAAGTTTCTCTCAGGGTGTTCACTAATTTTTCATAATAATTGGGTTTTGTGTCTTTTGCATAACACACTTGTACTGAAATCTCTTAGTCTTAGTATCATCATCCTTTTGATCTTTGAGTAAGAAATGCTACTTACTGTAGTACAGTCTTTGGAGAAATCGGTTTGTTTGGCTGGTATGGAATGCATAGTTTCTGACCACCCTAAAACCAAAGTTAAAATGTGTTTTCATTTTTGTTGTAAGAAAAAACTACTAGTATACAAAAAATAAACAAATTCAGAGCAAGACCCAATTAAAGGTGATTACATTTGAAGTCCTTGTACTGAGGCATAACCAACTGTTTGCTCATTATTTCATGTAACTTTTATAATTTCTGACAAATTTACTAATAGGAAAAGCCTTCAGTTTTGCATATAACATCTCAAAGACCTTTAGTTTAATAAACAAACAAAGGGAACCCTTTGTTTTCCTTAACATTAAAATGAGTTACAGAATCAAGCAAACAAGAAAACAAAAAAAAGGCTAGAATTCATTGTTAATATCAAATTGTACAAGTCAAGAATTCCTCTCACACCAAAGCAAACTACAAAGCTTACTGTTTTCCTCCAAAGAATGGCTCGGTATTGTGGAACACCATAGTTATCTGAATCTGTCAGGCAAACAGATAGAACAAAAGGACTCTTGCTTCCATCGATGCCAACAAAATTCTGATGAACTATTAAGATTGGAATAATATAAATACAACAAAGAGATCAGAACTGTACTCTGCTAAAACCTGTTACAATACAACTATACAACCAATCAATCCAAAGAAGTCCTCGGAAAGCTAATATGAACTGTTAGAAATTACTTTAAAATAGTTTTTTTGTGACTAAATTTACAAAATGTCGGGTCTGTTTTAAAAAATATGGTTTTTAACATGATCTCTTACCTTGTATACATTAAAGGATTATTTGTTAAATACAAAAAAGTTAACCAAATTGAAAGAGATCTGTGGAAAAGTAAAAAGTTACCTTTTCCCAGAAAATACTTGAAGTACCATCTTGTTTGGAACTCAGGATTCTCAAGGTGTACCCCACTTCCTTGCCTTGTAGCTAATCCATTCTTAACAACAGGAACATGATAGAATAGGTTAAAATGCTGCAGGATACTCATAGAAAAACAGCTAAGTATTCTTAATCTAAGGAACAATATAATTGGCTTGAAAGCGGTTGACTACCTCCCTACATTCCTTGCATTGTGCTTGAATAGACATACCTCTCAGATTGTTTCTTTTGTTTTTTTTTAAATAAACTACAGTATTACTCAATCTTTGACACCTACCTGTGGCACTGATGGCTGCATGCCAATTTCACCACTCTCCATTCTGAACCGCCCTGCATTGTCACTCAAGTCACTTCCACTTTGATGCACACTGTTAATCTGTATAAAGCAAAATAAAACAGATGAGAAATTGGTGATGAATACAGCTCAACTATAAGGTCGGTTACTTTATGTACTTGAATGACTGAAAAACATCTTCAACTATCCTAGCACTGGGACAAGAGAACTGCAAGAACTAAGTTTTATGACAACTAACTAAAATAATAGAGGAGCTCACAGCGTGCGCAGTGTAGCCCCATAATCATATGAAATAGTAGAAACCCATCAAGCCAAGAAAATTGGACTTAAGAGCATACGACCCTACGACCGTACGACCAACTGCACCACAAGGTGCTACCTTTAGCATGCGCTGCTAACTGTACTGCGGGCACATCAATGCCATAGCTCTACTCTTTTTCAGATGTTTGAGCATAATGTGTGCACAACACTCAGCTAAGGAGACTCTGGGTTCAAGATTAATTTACATTTTCTTGCTGCATATTGTTGGGAAAACTTTTTAACGGTTTGCACAATTTTCTTTCCTGTTTTTGAAAATTTTCAGCCTCTTATTGTAAGCTTTTTTATGGAGACCCCCCCAAAATTGCCTAATGACTTAAAAATTTAACCCTATAGCATCTATAAAAGAATCAGTTCTCTACACGGACACAGAGAAGTTGCAAATGAAAATCCATTAATACACATTATCCATAGTAGGGGCTTTAGTTTTGTTGATGAGACGTGTGGGAAAAAAATGTGAGCTCTGCTTTTAGGCTTTACTAAATCTATATATTACTAAATACCATCGTCTGAATGTAAATTGTTGTATACTTACAGCTTCCAGTGAGCCATAATAGTGTTTTCGGCTCAAACCAGATCTTCGACCAATATCAGGAGAAGGAGCACTAGTAACAGGAGAGCAAAGTGTCAAAGTGTCAACATGGCAAGTTGGTCTGTGAGTTTTTACAATTAAATATTCCATTAAAAGGTTCCATTTAGATGTTAATGCTGCCCAGTATCATTAGCCAGCTAAACAAATTAAAATTGTTAGGAAAACAAATTGATTAAAAAAAGAAAAAACAATGTAAGCTACCAAACCAGCGATTATATTAGGTATTATTATCGTCACTATAGCTATTGATGTAACCATTATTTTAATTACTATGCTACAAACTCTGAATTGAATCAAATTTATTTGTTTTTAAAGATAATTGAAAATACTGAAGCTGAAGAAACATTAGGGTAATTTTTTGTAAATGGAAAGATATATTGGAGCATCTTTTCTCTTGCAAGATTGTTTATCTTTCTTATTTAAAAAATAAAATTATAAATTTAATCTGTCTAAATTGGTCAACTTTGTTTAAGTCTAGAGCATTATCAGCCACTAATGAAAGAAATGAATATTATGCCTAAAAATTTCAGGGAAGAGCATACAAATGATCAAAATTTTTGTTCCCAAGCTTGAAATAAACCAAATAAACTTTCCAAGGTAAATGTACATTTTGTTACTAAAACTCAACCAAAATTGCATTCTTGTGGTATTGTCAAGCATCCTTTGTGCAACAAAGGATTATTGCCATTTGGAGTATGGAAATCATAAATACTTAACTAGTTTTCCAAGCAACTCAAAAATACTTTGCCAAACTTTTTAAGACCTTTCATGGCCAAAACATTGTTTTACTATAAACCAGCACATAAAATGTCTGAAATATACCCCTGAAGTAACTAGAGTTGTTTTTTGTTGCATTCAGTTTTGTTTTTTGATCAATTCTAGTGTCAGCTAATGCAAACAACTCACAAACAAATATATTTCTCAGACATTGGATCAGCTCCATCCAGCTATGTTAATTTAGTTTTAAGATCTATTCCCTTAAATCACTGCATTTCAAAATGAAAATCAGAATAACATAAATAAAATAGACTTAAGGAAGACGTGACTCAACATATGACAAAAACATAACTCTCTTGCAACAAAAATTCAGTCCTCCATTGTTAACTGGATATAAAATAAAATGCGCACACAACTTTGTACCACGTCTTACGAGTAAATCAAAATAATGCACCGTCATAAAAAATATACATTAATTTGAACAATAATGACTTGAAACACCAGTGCAGAACTCTATCTATTATCACTTTCGAGAGAGGCTTAAAAAAAATTGATGTCGTGTTAATTCCCTTGCTCTTTCACATTGCCTAAATGTCCTCCCATGAGAAAGGTTTTCGCAAATCTGTCATGTCATGACCCCTTTTAGCACTGACGTACTCGCGATAAAATTTGTAGGGAAAATTAATACATTTAAAGACAACTGCATCTTTTGCATATTAACATATCTTTACAAAATGACTACAAATTGAATTTACTACGGAGAAAAAGGAGCAATTTCGCATAACAAAATAAATATTAAGTTTGAAATGTAAAAAACTGAGTTACGACTCGAAATAACCAAAAACAAGTATCACAGTGTAATGAAAAGAACGTGAAATTATGGAAAAAGTTAAGTTGTGTTAATATTAACACCGAAGCAAAACACGCGCAACAAACGGCTTCACCGTCTAAATTCGGTTCTTTTGTCTACAATATCTGTTTAAGCTGAGTCTTGTAAAATTTAGTCGAAGAGAGAAATATCTTGGCGGTGAACAAGTGACAATTATGTTTAAGAAGAAATCAAAATCCCGCCTCCAATAGCAAAAAATATTTAAAAACAGCATTCGGAGATTATTTACCTGTAGGTGAAAGTAAAAGCTCTTGTCCTTGTGACCATACTGTGAGATAAGTCCACCAAAATTCAATATAAATGTATAACCATCGAACCAAAACTCGTAAAATCAGAGATCCTCGGTTTGACGTTTAAACAAGCGGAACGGTTCTTTTCTGAAGTAAACGTCGCAACTGCAAACTAATCATTAAAATCGAATGCTAAACGGTGCCAGACGGAGTCTTCGTTGGAAGCATTTGAATGAAATTCCAAACACACGCGATATCGGGTTATTTCCCCAACACACGCGATGATGGCAGGATTACCACAGTTTTCCTAGTTAAGACTGGATTTAAAAAGTACAGTTCAACCTGCCGAATATGAGTGTAAAGTTTGTGAAGGTAAAATATAGGTTGATGTAATATGACGCGTTCGAATGACAAACCTGGCACTTGATGAAGCGCTGGTAACGAATATACAGGTGCTTTATCTGACGGAAGTGCCAGATGGTTTAAAACTGAACATCGGCGGTTTATATTCCTTCGTCCTTCAGCCAACAAAAATAAAGTTTCAAACGAACGCACTGATCCACGAATGTAAACAAACAAAACTGTCGCTTTCGACCGAACGCTTTCAGAAGGGTTTTAATAACGTCAGCTTGTGATGAAGACAACGTTACTTAATACGCAGATACGCAGTAGGCTTTCCGTGACTCGTTGAAAGGTTTCATGCGCAATACGTGTAAATTGTAAACAAGTCGTTGATTGAGGCAGTTAGCAATAATAGCATAGGTTTCGGTGCCTTTCAACAGAAATGTGCACACACCATTGAATTATTAATAAGTTACCGATTGGCCTTCTTTGGAATCTTCGAAAACAACAGGAGACAATTTACTCCAATAAGCAGAAACTTAACTTTGCCTTTGAAGAAGGTAACAAATCTTGAGCAAGTTTAAGTCAACAAGCACTGTTCCGAGTCCTCCCACTATGATAAAACGTATTGCCCCAAACAAGTCGCTTCTGTATCACTGACGGCTTTTAAAATAAACCCAATTCTTTCACTTCCAGTGATGACGTTCACTTTATGGAGAAAACATTTCACATTCGTTAGAAAAGCTGAATTGCAAATGATAATATTGCCCGGAGACCCGTTAGTGATGGATAGGTTTTTGTTAATTTATTTATTCCAAGATTTTTAATGACATGCAAAATGCTCCTTGTCGCCTTTGTGCCTCTCCAAACATCCGAAAACGACACAATTGTCGTTTTGTACAACACTTTTTCCTTTTCTAGCGTCATTTCAGTTGTTGTTTTCTTAATAAATTTTGTTTCTTGATGATGCTGTTATTTCGGCATTTCGCATGTCACAAAATAAAAGGGTCCATTTTTTCGAGCCTTTCTGTTGAAAGAAAGCCTATTGTTGACGTAACTACAACTTGTAAACAAACTTTCAATAGTGTCCGGTCCGGAAAGTGATCTGCACTGGCAAAAAGATGAATACCATCTAGTTTTTTTCGTTTGTATTTTATGTCGATACTGCTTTACCACAATCAAGCCTAATTTTTTGCTCAGGGTGAAATCTCTAACGCAAGACATTTTTTTTCAGTTTGTAACTGCTAATCTTCCTTTTGAATTCCTTAGAGTTTCGGAAAAGCTTTTCGAATCCATCACTATCAGCTGCTGCACGTTTTGAGAAGGTTGACTTCTGCTGCAAATAAATCACAAACACACGCACACGCAAAACTATCGAAAATAACTTCCAAGACTGATAATTTAATGATCACAAAAATGACAGAGGTGACATCAAATGAATTCTGAGAAAAATTGTCTCACGGTGCAAAAAAAGGAAAACACTTAAATTTAGACCTTTAAAAAAAATTAAAATTTTATGGAGGCGATGATTCATCAATAACTACTTTTGATATGCAAGTCGTTTTGCATTTATCCATGACGTGTTATTTTAAAATTAAAACTCAGCCACAGGGGATTTTTTTCTGTTTTTTTTGTTTTCTTCAATTTATTTATTCATCTTTTGTTTTTGTTTTTTTATGGAGTATGATAATTTAACCATCTTTATGATCTATCACTAATACGTGCGAAATGATAACGTGCCTTTTTTGTACAGTTTACTGATGTCATTGGGTCAATTTTGTAATCATTTTAGGCATTTCAGTCCTGAATCGTATGGTTAACAATTGATGAGAGTAAAAAGAATCTTCAAACTCTCCTGAGGCTTAAACAGACGAACAACCATCTAGATGAGAACAGCGAATTTGCTAAGTGACCAACGAAGACCCACTAATGTATGTATTTCCCTTTTTAATTGCGAGTCGAGGAGACCTGAGTACGTCTGTTGAACGTCATAATCAACGTTTTTCTTGTCATTCATAAGAACCAGTCGTAAATGCTATGGAAAAAAATTGGAACGGGAAATGAACCTTTATAAATGACCCCTCTCTTAAATTAAATTTTTGGTGAGAAAAACTTTTATGTTTCTTAGCCTTATCGTTAATTGGGGTTCTACTAAAACAAATGAGAAACAAAAAAAGGCCGAAATCAAAACCGTGGTTGATTGAATTAAAAAAAAAAAAAACCTCGTCATGATAAAACCAATAAGAAATAATTTCGAAAAAACCTTTGATTTGTTCCGGTATAAGTTTTGAGTTCTACAAAATATAATATGTGTTAAGTTTAGCGACAAAAGACGTTTCTTGCACGAGATTCAGTGATGGGTAAACACTCCATCTTGTCACGCATTCAGTTCAGGATCACTTTTTCATGTGAGTGCTTCATACATCGAAAAATGATAGCCTTTTACCCATATCGAATAGATTTAAGCACAAATTTCATAACTTTTATTTTCAGCAAAAAGCATCAACTCATCCAGTGTCTGTGCTAGAAAAAATTGCGTGACCTATCGACGCAAACTTTACGTGATTACAAATTGATCAAGTCAAAACGGGTAATGAAGTTTACGGTTGAATGAAAGAATTGCTAATAAGTTCGAAAGTTTAAGCCTCTTTTAAGAAATTTGAACTAAAAAAAAAAGAGGATCAGGAGACTAGAAGGAATTCCGAATTTTTTAACCATGAGTCCTGATTTACGCGGCCGTATTTGTTTAACAAGATTAATAAATAAAGCATCTCGCGATGACGTCTTTGATCATGGATGGACGTGCGTGATAGTATCTTGTTACAGACATGCACTGAATTATAATAAACTTCTGAGAAGGTCAAAAGAAGAAAAATAGTAAGGTTTGATTTGGATTTCATTTGTTCGTCCGACGGTTTTGTTTGATTTAATCTTTTACTTTATGATAGTTTAGGATTGTGTAAATAAAACATTTGAAGTAGCTTGCCAACCTAATCTAAACAGAAACAATCCCACTCCCCCCACCCATGTGTTGCTAGTAGTTTTCAAAATACGTCACGTATGTCTTTAGAGCCAACAGCACAGAAAATTTTGGTTCTGACTGAGATAACTGGGACGAGTTAAAATTTTACCTCCAATCTAACTGCAACAAAGACTAACTGATGATTCATGCGTAAAACAAGAGATGTTTAACAATGTCAATATCAGTTCCACAATTTTACTGGTTAATGAGCCAGACGTCTTCTTTATCATTTTGGGTTTCACAACCTCCTTGATGCAGAAATAGAATGTGAAGAGGAGAAAATTGAAAAGTTTTATATTTATATGATCATTCTATACACGGTTCCAGCCAAAATTTGCGCGGAATAGATACACGGCTGGAACATGTGCTCTTCGTCATAGCTTCAGACAATCACATAGAAACTTAAAATAACACCTTTAAATCAAGGAAATGTAAACATTTCTTTGTGGAGTAGAAGTCGCCTCCGATCATAGACAGACTGAACTGAATTTCATGGCATCTCGGTATAGGTATTGTGACAAAATTATGCGAGAGCATGGTAAACCAAACATGATTGTTCTCACACAAATACGAACTGTTGATTCCGGCTTTCAACTGACAAATAATATCGAGCCGTGTTAGCGCGAATACTAACACCCTCAGGAATTAAGGTTGTATCACGAGAATTAGTACAACAATAACTCATACAAATCTTAATATCTCCAACTTTTACAAGAAGACTGACTGCATCTAATGAGCACCGACGCTCAATATAAACAGTGTATCGTTGCGGTAACAATCCCTACGGTTAATTAAACAACAAATACCCGAACCAGCCACTTAAATACTTTTATGGTTTCACAACTTACCAATTTAGTGTTTGGTTTTGTTGATCGACTTCCTCAGTCAGACGCAGTGTTCCAGGTGGACTTGAATATCGTTTAGGTTGAAGCGATGGTCGAGGAAGATACCTCCCTGGCGCTTTATTTTCTCCCACACTAAGACTGGCTTGTCGTTCGGGAGTGAACGTTTGTCGCTTTTTAGATAAGTCCATTTTGTATCGCTTCCGTATGGAGTCTAGTCCGCAGTGGTTCAAATAAATTCGTCACGGATCGCTCATGACTTTCGACAAAAAAAAGATAATAGATGAAAATTTAGAGTTACACGTGATGAACTCAACGTGGCTAAAATAACTTTGACCCTTGAAATAATGCAAGGTGGATCTAACGAGCTTGAATCAAGCTAAGAATTCATGTTGTGCCTCTAACTGCTCTAATGGCGGAGCAGACTCCAATCTTCTATTTGTCAAAGGTTTCTGCCGGTCTTCTTCTCATAAAACGCGTCACGTTTTCGATCGGTATAGACCTCCAGGGACGATTTTCTTTTGTATGGAAATATAATACCGTGGCGAAAATTTTACATTCTCGGGTCGAACGTCAAACCGACGTGGCCAAAATTTAGCGATCGGAGGATAATGGAGATGTGAGCGATTTCATATACTGTAACTTGCCATCTGTTTATGCC